CGCGGGAGGCGGGGCTTCCCTGGGAGTGTCCTCCGAAGTGGGCGTGGTCTGGCGTGTTGGTGGGTGGGGCCGGCAGAATCCCGCCCCCACTGGCACCCTTAGCCTGGCAGCCCAAAGCCGGGGTGGCTTGGGCCGGGGATCACGGCGTGGAAGGAGGGCTCCCCGCCCGAAACCTTAACTGACTCCCCAACCCCGTGTGTGGCGATGGCTCCACGCCGGACTCCCCACATTCCCACCGCACTCCACCCCCTGGCAGGCCCTCTGTTGATTGACAGTAGCTCTGACCGCGGTTAGTGTAGGGACAGGTCAGGGCTGCGAGCCGCGGTGGACGTGCCTCTGGTCGCCATGGTCTGCCTTCCCGCCCACGCCGGTGCCGGTGGGGACCACGGTGTGCGTTCTGTCCTCAGCATGAAGAGTGCCCGGGCGCCGCGGGAGGTGGGGAGGAAGTGGCTGAGAGCCGCCGTCCTGGGGGCTGCCGCCGCGCTCGCCGCGCTCCTGCTCTGGGGCAGCCCGGGGGGCGATGACGGGGTCACCGAGGTCCTGGCTCGCCGCGGTGAGGTCCTGCCCGGCAGGTTCATTGAGGTGCCCTGCTCCGAGGATTATAACAGTCACCGGCGATTTGAAGGTAGGTGGCGCCTGGTGACCCAGGAAGGGGCAGCGCGTTTGCAGGAAATGCAGTGTGTTTAACATGCGTGTCTTTTGCTATACAGTGCGTCGGTGGGGATCAGGTGGAAAGGGTGTGGGTGGCAGGTGACGTTTGCCCCTCCCCGGGTTTGTTACGCACACCTGGGCTGGGGAGTGCCGGTGTTTCAGGCCCTGCGGAGGGCAGGCCCGTTGGTCACCTTGGAGGACCTGGGAGGCCGGGGCCAGGGCTTCACGGAGGCCCCCGCACTGTGGCTGCTGCCCGATGGAGGAGGCTTGCCTGGAGGCTGCACAGGATTGGAGAGAGAGGACTGCAGACGTGGAAACCAGCAAAGGCACTGGCTGCAGAAAACGTGCAACCGGGAACGTCAGTCAGAGGCCCTTCTCTCACCTGGGCGCCTGTCCCATCCTGCACCCTCGGCTCTGAGAGGCAGGAGGAGGGCGAGGTCAGGGTCTGGTTAAGGGCCGCGGGTTGTGTCCGCAGGTGCCCTGAGGCCGAGAGCCGGCGGGTTCAGCACCCTGGAGAGAGCGCCGACCTGGGGGAGCGGGGCCTAGGCCGTGAGACCCGCGCCCTCGGGCCTCCGGCAGCTGCACATTCCGCACGGTCCCCCGCTCCGCGGATGCTCTCTCCGTTTGAAAAGCCGCAGCCTGAGCGGCCGGGTTTTACAGGCAGAATTCAGTTTCTCTCTTAGAGCAAGGCTTTGAACTTGAACCAAGGAATTGCCAGGTCCTTCCACCAAGAGGGCGCTGTCGGGCTGCACATAAGGGGTGTAACGGTCCACCAAGAGGGCGCTGTCGGGCTGCACATAAGGGGTGTAACGGGACGGAATGCAATGCGGGGGCGCGGGGGGCGGGGGTATTCGTGTCGCTGAGCGCGGGGAAGGCGCGGGCCCTGTGGGTGGCGCTGTCTTAGGTGGTCTTTCCCTCTGGGGCCCAGGGCTCAGGAGACCTTTCTCAGTGGCTGGAACTGAAGAGAAGTTTGCTTCCCACCCATTTAGTAATTCATCATTACACAGCGTTGGAATGGGGGGGGGGATTCGTGTTTAATGGGGATGGGGTATCAGGTTTGGGAAGATGACCAAGTTCTGGGGCTGGGTGGGGTGATGGCTGCACAACCATGGGAGCGCGCTTCATGCCATTGAACTACCTGCGTAAAAACGGCTAAAGCAGCAGTTTTGTGACGTGTATTTTACCACAATAAAAAAACAGCGGCCGTGTATTTTATAGCCTCTGGGCAGCCCTTCGCCAGCCCTCTCCTCTCACAGGGGAGAGAAGCAGGAGGGACTCCTCACTCTGGGGGCCGCATCCCACAAACCCCATTGTCCCCGGGGAGGGCCTCCCACAGGCTCTGTTATCGGGGACCTCTCACCCCGGCTCCTCTCTCTCCAGGCTGCTCCCCTACCAAGTGTGGCCGGGGCATCACCGACGCCGTCATCACCAGGGACGAGGCCCGGCGGATCCGCAGGTAGGACGGACGCACCTCGAGCTTCTGTCCCGGGCCAGCAGGAACCTGGGGCTGGGGGCGTGGAGCAGGAGGGGAGCTGAGAATTACTAACAGGGTGACTTAGAGAATTCATTTACAATGTTCTGCGTGCTCCCAAGACAAGGGTAGGCCTGTCTGGTTTCCAGGAAAGGCTGCTGCCCGCTGTGAAGCAGGCTTCCTCCCCGGAAAGCGGTTCTGACCCGTTCGGGTGGTCGGGTCAGGGTGCTGCCTGCGTAGAGGCTGGGTGTTCGCCCACAGCAGGTGGTCACTACGTACTGGCTCCATGTCCTCCAGAACCGGGTGGGGATTAGCCCTTCGGCCACTAGCAGGAAGGAAGGGCAGGGAGTCTTACTCAGAAGCAGGTGGGTTTTTCCTGGTTGAAATTTTAAAAACAGGATTTTCAAGCTTAGACTTTCTGATGCGCTGTTCAGACACAGAATGTCTTTGGAAGCGAGTGGTGGGTGGGGCGGAGGCTCGCCCTTGGGCTGCGGTCAACATTGTTGGCATCTGCAAGCCGGACGCCGAGCGAGTCCCGATGGGAGGTGCTCCCGTCCCGTTCCAGACCACGCTGTGGGCTCTTTGGCGAGGGCGCTGGCTTAGGGTTGGCCTTCCGGGCAGCTTGCTGGGCGCTGCAGGCTCTTGCCTCCTCGGGTCGGTGGTCCTGTCAGGTCAGCAGGGCCACCACGCGGCCTCGACTCCCTGACCTGGGGGTCCCAGAGGCTGCCCCCCAGCTGGTGGAGACAGGACAGGGACCCCCTGGGGGCAGTGCAGCTGCTCAGCACAGCAGACGGCCGTGGAGCCCACTTGTTCCCGAGCCGTGTTCTGTGTTGTCAACAGATGATAAAACATCGCCATTCACTCACTCAGCTTTGGAAGTTGAGCCGTGGTCTCACCATGTGCTCACGGCCTGTTCGTGTTGCACTGACCGTGGGGGTGGCGCTTGCCTAGCCATGTCGTACGTGAGGTGACTAACAAGTTTGACCTAAAATGATCTCTCCCGCAGCATAGCGGAGAAGGGGCTGTCCCTGGGAGGATCCGACGGAGGGGTGAGTTGTATGCGATTCCTGCTTCAGTTTTCTCTTGGCTCCTTTGTTTAATAAATGTCTTTATTTATGTCAGAGAGAGGGAGGGAGAGGGCGAGAGAGACAGAAACATCGATGAGAGAGAAACACTGCTCGGCTGCCTCCTGCACCCCCTACGGGGATCGAGCCCACAGTCCAGGCATGTGTCCTGACCGGGAATCGGACGGGAACCTCCTAGTGCATGGGACGTTAGTTTGAAATCTTGTTTCCTTGCGATCTCATTCGTTTGAGTGCTCGTTAGCTTGAGATCTCGTTGGCTTGAGTTCTCGTGTGGTTTCCTGAACATGGATCCTCTGGGCGCGTGGAGCGCGGGAAAATTCCTTCTCGTGGTTTGCTGACCCCGGAGTTCTGGCACCACCTCACCTGACCCAGTCTCGGTGTAGAAACTCCTCGCCGACTCACCCACAGACTTTGCTGGAATGTCTGTGATCACCTGCCTGACCTTTTTTGAATATATATTTAAAGAAGAACGGTTTTAAATATAATAATGTTACGTACAATAAACATTAATATTTCAAGTAAAATGATTTTAAATATAATACTAGAGGCCCAGTGCACGGATTCACGCACCAGTGGAGTCCCTTGGCCTGGCCTGCGCCCTCTCGAAATCCAGGACCCCTCAGGGGATGTCGGACGGCCGGTTTTGGCCCGATCCCTGCAGGCCAGCCCGAGGGACCCCACCGGTGCACAAATCCATGCACCAGGCCTCTCCTATGCACACAAGATCTTTAGTTAATCTCCTCCCACCCTCCCCCCTCACGCTCTGCTCTGCCGTCTCTTGCAGGCGTCCATCTTGGACTTGCACTCGGGCGCCCTGTCTGTGGGGAAGCACTTTGTGAACCTGTACAGGTGAGAGTCCGTGGGGCGGCGGCCCCCTTGGTGCGACCTGAACTCGGGGTCTGAGCACTCCTTGGCAGGGACACCAGCGAGGCTGGCATCGGCTGGTCTGAGTCCTGGGTAAACCGTGACATTTGCCGCAGGGACTCGGCCGGCAAGGACCGGAAGGCGTGGCCCTTCTCAGAAGCAGCATCTTTGTTCTTCAAGCTTCAGGGGCCGTCTAGCATCGGGGCTTCTCGAGGGGCCGGGACCTGCTCAGGGCTCAAGCCCGGGGCCGCGGGCGAGCGGGAGCGGTGAGGCCGGCCGGCTCCCCGTGAGCCGTGTGAGCCTCTGTGGGGTCTGAGGGATTCAGACCGCTCTCGGGGCCAGAAGCCCAGACGCCCGCAGCCCCGTGACCGGCACCCTCCGTGGGCGCGGCCGTCCTGGCTCCCTTCCTGCACTTTATCCTCAGGTGTCGCTGACAAACAGATCCGACCTGCAGGCCCGGCAGCTCTCGGGCCTGTGGGCCACCTGAGGAAAGACGGAATCTGACCGTGCAGCACGTGTTAACACTCCTTACTCCCTCAGATACTTCGGGGATAAAGTGGAGAACATCTTCTCAGAGGAGGACTTCCAGGTGTACCGGTGAGGAGGGCCAGGGCCACCTGGTGGA